AGGTGCAGTAATGTAGAGATTTGTTGAGCTGAGTTCACGTAAACCCCTAAAGCCAAATGGGCCACAGGAAAGACCTCATTCCTAGTCTTCAGTTGGTTTGAACACCCAGCATAGAATCAAAATAAAAACCACGTGTCCTCTAGCCCCACCCCAGGGCCCTCTACGTCAGCTTTATATATATAAAGCTTTGTGGTGCTTTCCTTTCCCTTGAGATGTTCCCAAGGACATCACAAGTGCAGAGCACGAAGGCGTGTGTGGACTTCCAACCACAGAGTCTAGAAGCATCTAGCTGTTCCAGTCTACTGCAGGCGGAAGCCTAAACCTGTGTCATCTGGTAGCTAAGCCCAAAGTGGCAACTGAGCAGCCCCAGAATGGGATGTGCCTGGCACCCTGGGGAAAACCCCTGCATGTGGCTGCCAGGAGAGAGTAAGGAAGTCTCCTGGGACAAATTCCCGGTGTTCCTCTGTAAGTGGAATATTCCACCGCCTGCGTCCTGGTTAGGGCCAGAGCCTTGGGATAGGAGGACTCTCATGCCTTTGGCCATTTGGGGCCCATTTTCCTGCTGAAGAAATGGTTCCTAATGGAGGAGGAATGGGGAAGGGAAGCCGAAGCCAGAAAGGTGCTCCTGTATTCACAACTCAGCGTTGTTGGGAGGGGCTGCGGTGTCTCTCAGGAGGCTCTTGGATCCTTTGAACTGTCAGCGGACCCCCGGCCCTGAAGCATCCCTCCTTTCTGGGTCTTTGGCCTCGAAACAGAAGTCCTGGGACTGGAGGCCTCACAGCTTCTAACGCCCCTGCTAGGCTTGGGCTGCACCATCTCTCCCAGCATCTGTCCCTGCTGCCTTCCAGGGCCACAGGCCCCCACTGGAGGGTGTCTGCAACTCTCTGGAGAGATGGACCCCCGGTGGGGTGGGCCTGACCCGGCCTGATGCTCTGCGGTCTTTATTCCTTAATTACTCTGGCAGCGTGTCCACATGGCACCAGCCTGACCATCCCTGGGTAACTTCAGAAATACCTGTGCCCCTTCCTCCAACACAAAGGACTGAAGACTCCTCCACAAACACCCCATGCCATCTTCTAAGAGCTCTGTCCTCCAGGATAAAGGGAATCTATATATTTTCCCATTTTACATATCAGAAAATAGGGGCCCAGGAAGGTCAGTAACTTGTTCCAGGAGAGCTTGTGAGGAGGGCACTGAGCCAGGACTTGCCTACTCGGCCCACTTCCCCCTCACCTCACTCCCCGAGTCTAGGCTGCTTGGCCACTCACCCGCGTCTCCCACTGCTTCCCGCTCCCACTCCCAGCACTCTGCTTCCCAACCGCTGCGAATCCCAGTCCCCGGCCTCTGTTCCCACCCCTACCCCCCAACAGTAGTCTTCTCTTTCCTCTCCTTTGGGAATGTCCCTGTGCTGCTTCTGTGGGTACAGCCCACAGCCGTCATGATGCTCACCCTTCCCAGCAGTCACCAGCCTTCATGGCCCCTCACTGGTGACTGAACGCTTCCTCCTAGGTCCTCATTCTGTCCTTTCACCAGGTCCAGTTCAGGAGGAGAAGACAGCTCAGAGAAGTCAGTGACTTGTCCGAGGTTACACAGCTGGTCCGGGCTTTCTTGTCCACCCTACAGTGCTTAGTAGGTTCTAACTCAGACCATCTTCCCTCCACTGGACTCCTAGTCCCTGAGAACGAGGACTAGCCTGCTCACTATACACCCAGCACTGCACAGCGCTTAGCACAGTTGGACTTCCTTAACATTTGTCATTGACAAGGTCGAATGGCCTCTCTTGTTGGAATGCACTTATAATCTCTCTGTCCCTGGTCAGGCTGTAGGCAGGGACCACTAGGAGATTTCTTTCATGACCCTCCTGGCATGTCCTGTGAACGTAGTAAACCTGTTGCCATCAAGTTGATTCTGACTCATAGCGACCCTATAGGACAGAGTAGAACTGCCCCATAGGGTTTCCAGGGAGCAGCTGGTGGATTCGAACTGTGGACCTTTTAGTTAGCAGCCAAGTTCTTAACCACTAGGTGGTCCACAGATACAGAGTTCAGTGAGAGGGAGAGGGGGTCATCAGCCATTCACACGGGGCTTTATGGGTCAACAAAGCGTTTTCCTGGGAAACTCAGAACGTTCTTGAATTCTCATTTTCCAGAATTTTCTTTCAACTCCCTGCATTTGAATTTTAAGATCTTCTTGAAATTCACACTGAAGATATTATTCCAGTTATAGAATTAAAAAATGAGGATGTAAATAAGGAAACAGAGGCTCAGAGAGACCCACACTGACCTAGAATAGTGAACAGGAAATTCCAGTCTTCTGACTCTTAACTTTAATTAACGAGAAGGAAGTGTGAGCATAACCTGAGTGTGTGACTCTTTGTCCGCCCTGCTTAGATGGGCCCGGGGCTTGGCTGGTGGGATCATCACTGTGGCCGCAGGCTTCCTCCGAGGGCCCTGCACGCCCACCCGGTGTCTTTTGGGCAGAGGGCTGAGACACTGTCTGAGCTCTGGTTGCGGAGCCGTGATCAACAGGTGGTGGTTTGCTTTGCACTTTGCCTCTGGACCTGCCTTAATGGCTTCCACAGTTGTGGACAAATCCTTGCGTGGCTCATCTTGCCTACCGAGCTTTTTCCATTGTTGCCCCGTGCATTGTCTGCCCAGATTTTATTGCAGCCTTCTGGGTGCGTAGATAAGAAATAGCTGGGCCTACATTAACCTTTGGTGATCTCCATCAGAAGGCTCTGGGAAAAACAACGTTTTCAGTAAAGGCCTGACCCTGTTGTCTCAAGGCCCTGCAGAGCTCTGCCCTTGCTTATGAATGGAATCGGTCTTGGCGTTTGGGTGATGGGGATAAAAACGGCCAGGATCAACAGCTTGGAAAAGGAGAGCGAGAACGATCGCACAACTTGAAGAATGTAATCAATGTCACTGAGTTTTACATGTAGAAATTGTTGAATTGGTGTATGTTCTGCTGTGTATATTCGCAACAACAAAAATAAAATAAATTATAAAAATAAGGGGGAAAAATGACCAGGCTCAGTAGAGGAGACTGCCTCTCCTGAAACAGATTTTAACTGGAAAACTTGATGACACAAGCAGCTGAGTCTCAGCAAAGAAGAATTGTTTTAAAAGGAGGCAAATTTAACCCTGAGATCCAGCAGCTTCTACAGCTGGAGGCTGTTCTGGCTCCTCAAGGAGGCTGTCAGGCGTCTCGTCCACAGACGGCCCCTCCGAGGCCCACAGGCCCCTTGTATCACTGCCTGGGATTTGGGACAGGGAAAGAGGGCCCCGTCACCGCCTGTCAAAGTGCATCTTCAGGGTCTCCACTGTAAGGCAGGACCGCCCCCCTTACCCTCTTCTGCAGAATTCCTAGCTTCTCTTCCTTTCCAGCTCCGAGCTGCGTGGTTTTCGCGCTGTGGTTTTGCTGCTCAGGAATCCTCTTTTTCGGTAACTTGAATGCTTCTCAGTTCAGGTTCCCATCACGTCCATCAGAGGCTGGTGTTTTGGGGAGCCCTCATGTTCACGCCAGAATCTCTGGGTGGTGCAAACGGTTAACATGCTCGGCTACTACCCAAAAGGTTGGAGGTTTGAGTCACCCAGAAGTGCCTCGAAAGAAAGGCCTGGCAGTTTACTTCTGAAAAATCAGCCATTGAAAACTGTATGGAGCACAGTTCTACTCTGACACACATAGGGTCACAGTGAGATGGGGTCGACTCCGGCAACTGTATTGTTATCTTTATCCCTACTGCCTACTCTTATTAAATTTAGCTTAGGGATATTTTTTCTAGAGAAATGTTTATTGCTGGGAGGAGAAAAAAGGATTTTGGTTTTTTAAAAAAGTAGTCATATAGATGAGGAGGATTTAAATTCGAGCCTCACCAAGGACTCCTCTCAGGCGTGGGTGCTACAAAGTGGAAATCAGAATACAGGCCTCGCGTGCTTGTGAAAGTAAAACGAGGTGTCAATAGGTGTGAGTTCTCTTCTTCTCTCTGCCCAAGAAGCACCCCCTTCCCCAAACGCGCACACTCACGTTCACATACACACACACTCAAACACAGTCTCTCATGTTCCCTCACACACACACACACACACTTACATACAGACACTGTAACACACTCATACACTCATACACTCCCTCTCACACACTCTCATGTATACACTTTCACACACACACACACACACACACAGTCACACATTGACACACACACTCACACACACTGACACACACACACTGCCGGTCCTGGCTGTTTTCACTTAAGAAACATCCTGAGCAGAAGCAGTGTAGTGCAGAAGAGAGACCTGTGGGTTTGTCACTTGTCATCATGGTTTCCAGGGCCCCCGTGTGCATTGACACCATGGGGGAACTGTCCCTGGGGAACTCCCTTTAAAGTCTCTCCTCACACTGCTCATTGGCAGGAGGTACCCCGGAGCCACTGCATATACACAGTGTGAACTGTCACGTCACAGCAGGGGATACTGGCCCCTCTAGTCTTCCTCTGTGGGAGCCACTGATGTGGGGTTGAGGGAGGTCATTTTGCAGAGTCCTAGAGTGTCCATCAGCCCCAGGAGCCTGATGGCTCAGCTGTCCTCCCCTCACTAGACAGATGAGGAGACCGAGGCCCACAGAGGGGACATGAGCAAGGGCAGGGGTGTGGTTTAGTTGTTTACCTGATGGGGCAATGGCCTGGAATGGGGGTCAGCACTGGACTGAGAGCATTCTGCCTGCCCCCCACCTGCCCCCTGAACCTGTCAGATCATCATCCCGAAGGTCTCCTTGCTTCAGGGCATTTTGCTCAGGCTACCTGTAACATGGGTCAGAGCCCCCTCTGCCTGCATCAGTGAGGGGGGGTTCTGGGAGCCCACTGAGGGCCCCTGTGCTGTGGTCACCTGCGGCGTACATCATTTTGTGATGACAGGCAGTGAGTGCTCTTGCTCTGAACTCAGCCTAAGCAGAACCTAGTGGTCCTCTTTCTGATGCAGGACTGTTTGTTTGCTTGTTTCTAGAGCAAATCATGGAGGAAGATAAAAAACATGGTCCACTGGTCTCCGTTTGTCATGTCCTTCAAGAAGAAGTACCCCTGGATCCAGCTGGCGGGACACGCAGGTAGACGCAGCCTTCCACACTCCCTGGTGGGAGGGCTCGGCTGGGTCAGGGTCGGGGGCAGCAAACTCGGGAGGGGACAGCCTGGCCCCTGGGTGCTCCTGGGTGAAAAGCACCCAGAATGGGTTCTCACTGAGAGACTTTGTAGTCTGAAATTGCAGCCACCATGTGCCTTTAACACTGTTTCATACAGGAACGTGGTCGGCTGCCCCCTGGGCAGTGCCACCCCTCTCCCAACATCCATCTTCCCCTCTGTCTTTGTCCCTCTGTCTTCTTCTCTCTCTCTTTCTCTGTTTCTTCCCATTTTACTCAATAAGACACATGAAATCATCAACCTTTATAGCTCGCCCACCATTTGTCACCCCCCGTCAAGCGCCCATACTCACAGTGGGGAGCCCCAGGGACTGTGCCGAGAGGGCTGGCCGCTCAGGGACCAGAGGCCTCCTCCCGTCTTGTCCACAGGGAGCTTCAAGGCTGCGGCCAATGGTCGGATCCTGAAGAAGCACTGTGAGTCGGAGCAGCGCTGCCTGGACCGGCTAATGAAGGACGTACTGAGGCCCTACGTGCCTGCCTACCACGGGGACGTGGTGAAGGACGGGGAGCGCTACAACCAGATGGATGACCTGCTGGCTGACTTCGACTCACCTTGCGTGATGGACTGCAAGATGGGGATCAGGTGAGCCAGCTCTTCGGAGCCCCCACACTTGCCTGGGCACCATCCCAGCCATGGGGGACGCCTAGAACGGCTCATAGCTTCCTGAGTGGCTTCGCGTGCAAGGGCAGGTCCTGGCATCTGGCTTGGACTAACTAGAAGCTCCCCCACTTCAGTCCTCTCACATTATGTGCAAAGGGTGCAAGGACCCTGGCTCAGCCCCGTGACAGCCCCTTCCCTTCCTTGGTGAGCTGAGGCTCTGCACCAGGAGAGGGGCAGAGAGACCTCCCCATGGAGGATCAGGTGGGATTGCTGGGGACCAGTACCAGGTAGGGAGGGAGCAAGGTGGTGACTTCCTTTACATGAGCTGCTGTGAAGGGGCAGCTAGAATAGCGGCCTGCTCATTTCTCCCAGTGATGAGAGACTGGGAAGACAGAGCCGGCTAGTAGGACATGCTGGCTTGCCAAAAAAGACTCGCGCCTGCCCTGAGAGTGCGCTTGTGCAGGGACTCCAGGAGCTGAGAGGCCCTGCAGACACTTAACAGCTTGCCCACATCTCCAGATTGGGGCCTGGTGTGCCCTGGCCAGCCCAGCGGCAGGGAGCTGCAGGGCCGCGTGAGCCTGGAGCCTGGAGGCAGGTAATTGGCCCTGTGTAGAAATCGGCTCTGTTCCCTGGGGGGCACATACAGTTTGTGCTCAACTACCAAACTACAGTTGATGGTTCGAACCCACCCAGCAGCACTGCAAAAGAAAGGCCTGGCAATCTCCTTCCATAAAGATTGCAGCCTAGAAAACCCTGTGGAACAGTTCTGCTCTGTAACACATGGGAGCACCATCAGTTGGATTTGACTCAACGGCAATGGGTTTGGTTTTTGGAGAATGAGCTCCCACTCCAGGTTTCTGATGGCTAGGATCCAGTTCACCCTGACAGATAGCAGGAGAGATTAAGTGGGACAAGACCTGTGGGGGGAAGAGGAGAAAGTCAGAGTTGGCAGAGTCCAGAGGGGAGGATCTGCGTTGGAGGGGACAGCAAGGGCCTAAGATTCTGTCACCCTGAGCTCGGAGTCCTGGGTCTTGGCGGGGTGTTTGGTCATCCCCTTTCAGACTTCTACCCTTCAGTCCCAAGAGCCACACGAGGCTCCTTCCCCCTTCTCTTGTAGTGCAAGGAGGGCTTGGTGAAGCCCCTCTGCATGCTGTGGCCCAGATGGTGTCCAGCATTGGTGCTCACCCTAAGAGCCAGCCCAGACCTCAGCTCCTCCTGCCCGCCCCTGTGGCTCCCCCGGGGCCAGACATGGAGCAGCAGAGCTGAACGTGTGTTTTGTTTGGATCATCTAACTAATTTTATTTCTTGTAAGAGGAGATTGAGAAAGAGGAGTGTGAGAGAGAGACAGACAGACAGACAGGCCAGGAGAGACGTGGGCCAAGGCCTAATCAGTTTTCCTTTACCTCCTTACTCCTCCTGAGATTTCTGTCCTGACATCAGACCTGGCACGCCAGCCCCTTGGTGGCCCCTTGGCGTTTCCCCCAGCCCAGGGGTGGAGGAGAAGGGCGTGGAGAAGTACAGACCCCAAGCGTCCACTCTTGCACTGGCCCCTCCCACCACCCAAAGGCCGCGTTACCTCCAGGGAGCTGGGGTGCGGCTGGGAGGAGGCAGAACACCCCTCTATCAACCACTTGGCCATGGGTCTTCCCCAGAGTCTTGTTTCTGTCCCTGGAAGACCCTCCCCTGGCACTCAGGGGGAGGCCCAACCCTTCCTTTGTACCCTAACACCAGCAGGACTCAGCCTGCTTGCAGGGGAGGGGAGTTCAGGTTGCAGCACAAACAAATGGAAAAGCTTCCCGTTGGTGTTCACTCAGACCGTGACCAAGAAAGTGCAGCCCTGTGTGAAGGACTCACAGCCAGTGATTTCCTGAAAGTCGGTAGCCCCAGGGATGGCCTGCTGCGCCCCCCACCCCCACCCCCAGGCCATGCTGTCGGGCACTGGCCTGCTCTGGGAGCCTGCAGGATGCCGCTGTGGGCACCGGCCTGCTCCAGGAGCCTGGCGGATGCTGTCGTGGGTAGGAGTCCGCCCACCGCCGTGTGGCCCTTCCCCCACTGCTGGCCTCTCACTGCACTTCAGAGCTCTCAGCGGTGCTTAGAGTGACCAGTGAGGCTGAGCCCTGCCAACCCCATCGTGAGCAGGGATCAGGGAAGGGGCCGCAGAGTGAGAGAGGAGACCACAAGGTGGGGAAGAGTAGGTTCCCCCAGAAGCAGCCCCACCCAGCCACCCAGCCCTCCTGCCTCCAGAATCCTGCACTGGGAGCGGGGAGCATGCAGGCCCCTCCTGTGCTCCAGGCACTGAGCTGGGAGTTCTCCTATATTGTCATATTTCATCCTCACTGACACCTTGGAGATAGAGGTAGGTCATGTTCCTATTTGAGCAGTAGGTGAAGTGACTCATTCGGGGCCACACCGAGTTCAGCAGCACAGTCCAGATGTCTGAGTCATGACTCTCTAGAGAAACAACACCAGTGACATATATGTATATATATGTGTGTGTGTGTGTGTGTGTGTGTGTGTGTATATGAGAGAGAGAGAGACTTCAAGGAGTTGTTGGCTCATGTGATTATGGGGAGCTGACAAGTCCCAAATCCCCAAGTCAGGTGACAGGCTAAAGACTCCTACAGACTTGGAGGATTTGTGGGTCAGGTGATGGCAAAGGTGCAGAGTAAAGTTCTGCCAAAATATCTACTTATATTCTGGAGGCAGAACGAACCTGAGTGAAACTCCTCTTTTAACTGATTGGTTGATTATATTACATTAGATTACATTATGGAACGTAATTACATTACGTTGATGTTACATCACATTATGGAACAGCAACTAGACTAGTGTTTGAACAAAAATCCAAAACCAAACCTGTTGCCATGGAGTAGAACTGCCTCATAGGGTTTCCAGGGAGTGACTGGTGGATTCGAACTGCTAACCTTTTGGTTAGCAGCCGAACTCTTAACCACTGCACCACCAGGGCTCCCTGGCCGAACAACTAGGAACCATAGCCCAGCTCAGCTGACACATAAAATGAACCATCACACCAGATTTTCACTGACCTGCCTTACTGCAAAAGGAACCCTAATAGCACAGTGATTAAAGCCCTCAGCTGCTAGCAGAAAGGTCAGCAGTTCAAACCCACCAGCCACTCCACAGGAGAAAGACTTGGTGGTCTGCTTCCATAAAGCTTACAGCCTTGGAAACTCTATGGGACAGTTGTACTCTGCCCTCCAGTGTCGCTATGAGTCAGAGCCGACTCAACGGCAACAGGTGTTTTTTGCCTGACTGCAAAGGCCAGCCCTGGTCATGTGCGACCTGCTCCTGTGCACCTTATCAGGTGTTTGCAATCAGTTATGTTGGGGCTGTGGATTGTGGCATTTTTCCAAATGCATGGATCCAGAACCCCTTGGCCCCAGAGCCTCTCCCAAGACCGGCATTCCATGTAATGCTTCTCCTGGTCCACTCCAAAGTGTGGCCCTGTCCTGGCCAGAGAGAGGAGGCTGGAGCTGGAGCCCAGGGCACTAGGTGTGGGGGTGGGGCGTGGGGTGGAGACCCGTCACGGAGAAGCGGTGGAAGGGCAGTTCAGCCAACCAAGCCAAGGCCATGGGGGTGGAGGGAAGGGGGATGCAGGTGCCCACAGTGTCCTAAACCAGGGTCTCTGTGACCCCTGTTCCACATGGGTGTGTTTCCGAGCAGGGGGCCTGGCTGTGCTCTGGGGAGTTTCCTTAGCTTTGACCTCGTGAGCCTGTGTTAGGTGATTTGCCACTGAGAGTCAGGGTGCCTTCCTGACAACTGGCTGGTGGCTGAAACTAGAGCTGTGTCCCAGCGCCTCTGTGCCCTTTGTGAAGCTGTTGGTGGCTTTGGTCTGTCGCCTGCTGGGCTCCCCCATGGGCTTGCTGCCCTCCCGGGAAGGGTACTTCATTCATTAGTCGAATTACTTCTTCTAGCCCTGGTGGCGCAGTGGTTGAGAGCTTGGCTGCTAACTAAGAGGTCGGTAGTTTGAATCCCCCAGTCGCTCCTTGGAAACCCTATGGAGCAGTTCTACTCTGTCCTATAGGGTTGCTATGGGGTCACTTTGAGTTGGAATCAACTCGATGGCAATGGTTTTTTAACCCAGCTTATCCATGACTGCGCGAGCAGTTCTCTGCTCTCTGTGTGTGACGGTAGGTCTGACCCTCCCTCCGTGGCAGGGCAGCCTGTGGAGGCTGTGCCTCACCTCCCAGGGGACCTCCAGGCCCCACCATTCAGCGGGTGACCCTGTGGGCATCTCTCCCCAAGCCCCGCTCCTCTCCCAGGAGTGTGCAGCCCTGCCCAGATCAGAGCTGTGGGGCTCTTTTTGGAGACAGCCCCATGTGAAAAGGGATTTGACATCAAGGCCTGCATCCTGTTTAGGGAGTCACTAGGGAACTCTTTGCAGAGGTGCAGCCACCCACCCACCCTGTAGGCCCCAGAGCTCACTCAGCAGCATTTGGGACAGCTGGCTCCTTCCCACCACCTAGCTGCCCCTTCACCTGTCACCTTCCACACCAACCACACACCCCAGGCCCACACAGCACAGCATCAACACAACCGAATGCAGCAGCATCCTGCCTCACAGCCTCTGCCTTGCAGCTCACATCGCTGACTGCGGCTACACACACACTCTAGTCTAGGGTGTGTGTATGCTTGTATGTGTGCACACGTATGTGCCTGCGCAAATGTGCAAATGTGTATGTGTGTTGCATGTGTCACTGTGTGTGTGTGTGTGTGTGTGTGTGTGCGCACAGCTAAGAACTAAGAACTGATGACCTCCCCCTTGCCATCTTCATCACCTCCTTGACGATTGTAAAGGACCTGACGTAAGTTCACACCCAGATGTTTGTTTTTTTTCTTCCTGTTTCTTTCAGTGCAAAGATCAGTTGATACAGTGGTTATCTTTTTTAAGACTTCATGGATTCTTGCTCAGTCTGTTCTGGGTCCCACACCAGCAGCTTGGGGAAGGGGTGGTGGGAAGTGTGGAGCAAGGCAGGGGTGAGGGACGGGGGCCCTGGGCAGGGTGGGGTCCAGGACCGGGGCGGGGAGGGCGGGGCGGTGTCAGCAGCCCTTTGAAGGCAGCTCCCACCCACGCTGAGGCCGGGGAGAAAGCTTCCCTCTCCTGCAGCCCGCACTGCTCATGATGTTTCATGAGGTGTCACGGGCGTCTCAGAGCCCTTTTTTGGGGGAGGACAGGGTTTAAATGGGCACAGGGAAGAGGGGGAAGGGGGCTCTTCATGATGTGGAGGGGTCGGCACCTGGGTGCTGCAGGGTGACTCCATCTCCAGTTTTGGGGACCGCGGTCGGGGGGCAGCCCCGCTGGAAGCCTGGTGTAGCACGGGATGTGGGTGCCGGGGGCAGTGTCTGTCACAGCAGCCCAGAGCCAGGTCTGCAGTGGGCCGGGGGCTTAGCCTCTGGCTGCTCAAGTCCTACATGGCCCCTGCTCCTGTCACCTCCACCAGAAGTGTGGGCCCCGCCAGGCCAGCCCCAGGCCCAGCCTGCTTGTGTGGAGGGCAGGGCGGGTGGCAGATTAGCTGGTCACGTTTTCTCAGGCTTTTGACCTGGACACTCCGGTCTCGGAGATGTCGGCCAAGTCTCGGCCTGGAGCTGGTAAGGGAGAATGAGCTGGGCAGAGCAGAGGGTAAGGTGACCGGAGGCTTCTCCTGCCCGACCTGGGCTTCTCCATCCCTCCCCATGGCCCCTACAGGGCCACCTTCCGGCCTAACTTTTATTCTCAAGCTTTCCCGTCTTTAAAGGAAATAGGGAGCCCAGGGAAGAAAGGGGGAGAGTGTGGATACGGTGTGGGGATCACAACCAATGTCATGGAACGCTTTGTGTACAATTTGTTGAACGGGAAACGAATGTGTTCTGTAAACTTTCACCTAAAACACAGTAAAGTATTTTTTTAAAAAAAGAGTCCAAGAGACGACATGGCTGGAAGATGTATTGTATTTACACTGTAAACTTCCAAATGGTGAATTTAACATGACCAGAAGACCCATGCCGGTTCGCACTTTCCTGCACACTCAGAGACGTGCATCTGTGGTCATCGTGAAGGAGGCATAGTACCGCCCTTTGAGAGAGACAGTGGACAGAAGATGCAGCGTCATGAACCGTGGTGGGACCAGCATTGCACATATGCTCTTAGGGACCTGCAGGGACAAGACCTATACTGTTCAGTGTCACCAGATTCTGCAGAGCCATGTTTTTGTGACGAATGACAACATTGCTGCCATGTTCTCATGGTAGGAGATACCAAATTATCCAGGGACAGTACATGGGACAATAAAGTACATGGAGAGATGGTTCCTGGAGTAAGCAGGAAAAAACGGTGCTTGGACCCTGTGAAGAAACTCCACGTGCACTGACTGGGCGATAAACAATACATAAGTGTTTCTTCTCTACCCATGTTCATTGATAAATCACTGTAACTCACAAAAAAAAAGATTTCCCCTCTTGGAGAGAGTGGAGAGAGAGGTTCAAGGGCAGGCTGAGCCCTCCAGGCTGTGGGGGAGTGGGGAGACTGGGGTGGGGAGACGGGTGGAGTGTGGGAGCAGAATAGTGAGTTCTCTGTCAACACAGGTGGTTGCTTGCTTGATGGAGGTGTCTCAGGCGCTGACCCAGCCAGGGTGGAGGGACGGGGCAATCTCCATTCCACAGGGCAAGCCACTGAGCCCCCCTGCAACCTCCTTCCTTACTCTGCTGGCCCCTGAGGTTCTCCTAGAAGGCAAGGTGCCCCTTAGGTTTTGCCAGGCCTTGCAGGTGGTCTTATAGAATGAAGTGGCTGCAGTCCAGGTGCCAGCCAAGTTGAGCACGTTGCCCACCCTGGGTGAGCAGGCCTTGGCTTCAGGGCTGCAGCTTGCTGGTGTACTGTGAACCTCAGCCAGCTCCCCCCTGTTCTGAGCCTTCGTCCGCTGGTCAGTGACAGGCTGCCGGTGACCCTCATGTCGTCTTGCCTCCACACAGGACCTACCTGGAGGAGGAGCTCACCAAGGCCCGCAAGAAGCCCAGCCTGCGGAAGGACATGTACCAGAAGATGATCGAGGTGGACCCTGAGGCCCCGACCGAGGAGGAGAACGCCCAGCGGGCCGTCACGAAGCCACGCTACATGCAGTGGAGGGAGACCATCAGCTCCACGGCCACCCTCGGGTTCAGGATTGAGGGCATCAAGGTGAGCCGGGGAGGGGTGGCCAAGGTGGGTGGAGCGGTGGGGCCCTTGGGCCAGCCTGTGCCCACCCCAGGGTCATCTGCCAGCTTTCGCCCCACACAGGCCTGGGGTCTGAGCAGCCAGCTGCAGGACAGACATTTGGGGGCATTAGTTCCTGGCCTGTTCCTCAGTCTGAGGTGCAGATGGGAAGGCCATGCGGGGGCTAGGCCTTGTAGCAGGGGGCTGGGCCTTGCAGAGGAGAGTTGGGGGTTCCTCTAATCCCGCCACGCAGGCATCTCTGCCGAGGACCCTACACTTAACCAGGACCAATTCTGCCCCACTCTGAGAACCCACACAGGCGCCAGCTTCCTGGATGCCAGTGGGGAAAGGGGCTCCCTCTGCCCATGTCACACTCACAGGAGCACCGGCAGTGACACGCAGGCAGCGGCGGTGGGGGCTGGGATGAGAGGAGACACATGGGCTGCTCAGACGAAGCACCTTTCGTCAGTGTCACCGGTGACGCCTGGTGGGGCTGCACCGAGGCCTCCCCCAGTCTCTGGGAAACCGCACCCTCTTCTTTCCTCGTGGTCTCCTGTGAAGGGTCTAGAATGCTCCCCTGTGTCCAGGCCCCTGCACACTTCTTGCTGTTAAGTTTGTACAAGACCCTCGGACACGCTCTGGGCCCAGCATCATTGGGCCCTTGGGTCTCGGTCTCAGGCAGCGTCGCTGCCACTGCAGACAGGCATGTAGATGGGGGTTTCTGTGCTTGCGGTGTCTCCTGCTGCCACGGGGGCAGTGGGGAGGGGGGAGGTCTTCGCCATCCCCCAGAACAGCTGCTGGTGAGCACTGGACTGAAAAGGCCATTTGTCCTTTCCCTGTCTGCTGGAACCCGCTGTCCCACTTTTTAAATCCTCAGATTTAATGCAGATTATATGCTCCTCCTCCCCTTAATGCTCATTTTTTTTATCTTTTCAAAACAAATCTAGTTTCCTCTTCACCTTTCCCTCACAAACAGGGTGTTCTTCCGGCCTCTGTCCACTGTCCAGCTGTAGGGACAGCTAACAGCTGGTCTTCTCAGGCCGAAGGCCCACCAGCTCAGAGAGAAACCAACTGTCTTCCTCAGCCCTCCCTCCACGCCTCCCTGCCCTCCGTCCAGGAAGCGCTGTGTGCAGAAAGGCTCAACCGGATAGCTGCTGGCCTCCCCCCAGGCCTCCTGCCCCAGGCTTCTGCTCACTTGAGGCAGCCATAGTGAAGTCAGAGCTTTAACTAGAGTCGGAATTGACTCGTCGGCAACGTTTGTTTGTGGTGGAGGGACCCAAGTTTTAGGGCTCCTGGAGTTCCTGGGTGGCGCATACAGTTAAGCAGTCAGCTATTAACTGAAAGATTGGTGGTTCAGATTCACCCACAGGTGCTTCAGAAGAAAGGCATGGCCATCTGCCTGCGAAAAAACCGGCCATTGGAAACCCTGTGGAGCACAGTTCTACTTTGACACGCATGGGGTCGCCCTGAGTCGGAGCTGACTTGACAACAACCGTTGTTGTTTTTTGGCAATGCTATCCTTTCTCATCCTTTGTCCCCAGAGAAAAAGTGTCCTCACTGTTGAGCTAAGTCCCACGTGCTACCCCCAACAGCCTGGAGCAGAGATAGTGCCTGGGCCAGGAAGGTCTCTCGTGCTGGGCGGGCCAGGGGCAGAGCTGGCAGGGACAGTGTTTTATCTTGGCTTTCTGGGAGCTAGGATAAAAGAGGGGTCCCTGGGTGGTACAGATGGTTAAATGCTCTCAGCTGCTAACTGAAAGGTTGGAGGTTTGAGTTCACCGAGAGTTGCCTTGGAAGAAAGGCCAGGTAATCTACTTCTAAAACTCAGCCATTGGAAACCGTATGGAGCACAGTTCTACTCTGACACACATGGGGTCGCCTTGAGTTGGGAGTTGACTCAGTGGCAACTATTTATTATTATTATTTTAGGATAAAAGATCTTCAGTTACACAGGAAGTAGAGCTGGACTTGGGATGGGGAATGCTTCTGTTCTGTCCCTGGCGAGGGAGGGAGCTGAGGCCGCCTCTGACCTCGGGCTGTGGCCCAGCCCTGGCTGCAGAAACCCTGGCTGCAGAAGCAGGCCTCCAGTTCCAGGGCCAGGCCCCTCGTGGTGAAGCCCAGGCCGTCCTGTCTCCCTCAGCCCTGGTGCTGGCTGGGCTGGGCCTCTCCCATTCCACTCTTCCATTCCACTTGCTTTGACCCAGATGCCCCCGCCCCGCTCCAAGCCTTTGCCTGGGATGACATTGCCACCCTCTGTCTTCTCCTCTTCTCTGAGGGAGAAGACACCCCTAACCTTGGACTGTTCAGATTAACCCTTTACTCCCCAGGCCACCTTCACCTGGCTGCGTGAAGCCTCTACGCTCTCTCCTGTACGTGGCATCTGGCTGCCTGTACCACCCCCTCGAGTGCTCAGGGGCCAGGACCCGGGCTCGGTGCTCTGTCGTCAGTGGTCTGGGCCATTTGGTGGGTGAGTGTCACCAGAGGGTCCTCTCCTGACCCTGCTCCTGTTCTCTATCTCAGAAAGAAGATGGCTCCGTGAACCGGGATTTCAAGAAGACAAAGACGAGGGAGCAGGTCACCGAGGCCTTTAGAGAATTCACTAAAGGAAACCAGAACATCCTGGTGAGTGTTGGGGAGGGTGCTCCTGAGAAAGACCAGTCAGGAAGGGATAACCAGGCCAGGCCCTCCCTGAGAAGTTTTCCCACACGGCAGCGGTGGCCACGTGCCCATGCAGAAGACCCTGGCCCCAAACTTCTGCTTGGAAGGTGAGGAAAAGGTGATCCCGTTGTCAGCCCCACCCGGTGGGAGAACAGGGAGGATTTACAAACCCTCACTGACTCCTTCCCTTAAGCCATCAACCTCACAGCTCAAGACACTTTCCATTCCCTTCAGGGAATGTTAACTGCTGTGTGTCTTCAGCACCTTCAGCTGCCAGGAATTGTGGTAGCACCCATTGAATCCTCAGAGCATCCCTCTGGTGTGGGGGGACATTCTTGTTCCCATTTTACAGACGAGGAGACTGAGGTCAAGGACACACAACCGGGAAGGGGTGAGCTGGGATTCCAGCCCAGGCCTGGCCAACCTGGAGACCAGGCAGGCTGTGAGGACCCTGCCCAAGACTGTGAGGCTAGGGGAGGGAGGTCTGTCCCCGGCGTCACACAGCCCTCACCAGCAATAACTGACCAGCTCTCTCGGCGCCTAGGGCTGTGGGCAGTACCCGTTCATGACAAGGGGGTTGCGTTTCCGTGTGTTGTCACAGCACGCAGGTTGGGACAGAGGCTGGGCCTTCTGACCACTGGATTAGAACACTTGTTTTCCCAGCTGAGCTAGTGCCTTAGCCTCTTTGGGTGGCCATGACAAAATACCACAGAGCGGGTGGCTTTAAGGAACAGAAGTTTATTATCTTACAGTGCTGGAGGCTGGAAGTCCACATCGGGGCCTTGGCTGTGTCGATCGCTCGTGGGGCTTTGAGAGAGGAACGTTCCATGCCTCTCCTGATTTCTGGTGGCTGCCAGCAATGCTTGGCATTCCGTGGCTTATGGATGGGTCTTCACACACTTTCTTCTCCCGAGTGGGACTGTTTCTGTGTCTGCCCTTCCCTTTTATAAAGTGCCACTCAGAAAGGGTTAGGATGGGGACCCACCCTGGTACGAGTCCATCAGCTGATAACATCTGCAACGAAAAACTCTGTTTCCCCAAACAAGGTTACACTCACTGGTATGGGGGTTAGGACTTTAACCTGTCTTTTGGGGGACACAATTAAATCATAAGTCAGTGTGTGTTCAGGGGTGGATTAACCAGTAAGCACAAGTAAGCCCGTACGTACCTTGCTTGTTGGATAATCTGACCCTGTGTGTGTCACACAGCCGCCCCTGTTAGACAGGGTGCCCTGTAGTGGTCAGAGACCCAGGCGCGCCCTGTGACTTGGGCTCTGGAGCCCCCAGACCCACGTGAGAAGCAGGGAGGGGTGGGCCCAAACGGCCTTTTCTTCAAGCAGACTCAGAACTGGCAGACCGGAGCCTCCCTTCCTCTCCTTCTCCAGCTCTGAGTACTCCTCAGGTTGCTTCTCCCTCAGTCCCCTTGGCTGGTCTCGGGGCTGCCAGTCATGCCTGGGGCCTGCGGGGGTCTCACCCCACTCCTCAGAGCCCCAGCCCTCCCTGGTTCCCGCTCCTCGGCAGTGTCTGCCACAGAACACACCTGCTTCCCATGCCAGGGCCAGGCGGGCTTATTCCTGGTGTCCGGCATTCAGGGAGCTGCTGGCCCGCCCTGCCAAGTTGCGTCACTGATGTTCAGATGGGCATGGGGAAACCCTGTGTGCAGATGGGCTTCCCTAGCGGCCTTGTGGCCTGAAGGTGGTCAGACCCACAGAGCTGGCCCCTGGGGAGGGAGGGTGTCCAGGGTTTGCACAGTCCAGTGGGAGTGAGAGGCTGCTAGTGGAGGTATTTGTGGCTCTCCAACGTACTCTTCAAATCCAGGGGCCGTGAGGTTTGTTCTCAGGAAGTCACCATGGCAACCAGGCTCTTAGGATGCCGACTCTAAACTGTTGGCATTCCAGAACAAACTCAGCCATCATGCTGGAGCCCCTAGAAAGCGGCAGGGCTGTGTGGGAACGCTCCTTCCACCCCCTGCTCATGAGGCCCTGTGAGGTGGGGAAAACGTGGGGCTGGGCGCCCACTGGGCCTTTTTTTCTGGGCCTCCAGGTCTTGCTTCATAGCTGAGGAGGTCAGAGTAAGTTATTGGGGTCTGAGGTCCTTCCCACTTTTTTACACCCAGTGACTCTAATGAGCTAAATGGCTTCAAATCCACCCCCTCCCCCTCCATAGCATGTAAAAGTGGCCATTTTTCTCTTCTCAGATCGCCTACCGAGACCGGCTGAAGGACATTCGGGCCACCCTAGAAGTGTCTCCCTTCTTCAAGTGCCATGAGGTAGATGTTGGTGGATGTTTTGCCCTCTCGGGCAGACGGCTGTGTTCCGGCTGGCTGGCCTCGGCCTGCAGGGTCTGTCTACCTGAGGAGTGGGCGAGCTGCCCACACCAGCCGACCCACCTGTCCCAGAAGCCCAAGGGTATTTTTAGCATGACTGCAGTCACGGGCAGACTGTCAAGGGTCCGCCTCTCGCTACATGTAGGAGCCATGCCTGTGGCTTCCTGGGATGGCCTTCTGGGGTTCATGCTTGAGACATCGGTGGTCCCTGCCCACCTCCACCTTCTCTCGCTCCCAGGTCCTGAGGCTTGTTCATGCTGGCAGCTGGCTGTGGTGGGACTTGTGTTCCACAGCCCCGGGGCCTTAAGGTAGAAGCTGTCTGAGCTGCTAGAGTAGCTAAGAAGCCCCCCATCACCACCCCAAGACCTTCAGACTCTGGGGAAGGCAGGCAGGTCTTCAGTACCACTCAGAGCAGGACTGGAACTTTCTGCCTGCCGCCACCTTCGCAGGGGCAGTGGGCAGCAGACAGGGAAAGTGACACCCTAGGGGAGAGGATTTGGGAATGGTCAGCATATTCCCTGGACACATTTGTAAGATCTCAACACCGGGGAGTCCAGGTTCCCCAGGCCTGTGCACACATGCACACACCACCCCCAGGAATGGTTAATGCCAGGGCTGGGGGCTATGTGAAGCGGGGCCCCCACCACTCCCTGCAGACTTCTAGCTCTTTCAGAAAGCAGCCCCCGCCCTGCTCTTGAGAGAACTTGCGGGGACCCTCAGCCTGAGCCCCACCCACAGAGAGGGCTGTGTCTTTAGCAGGAGGAACTGAAGACTGGTGGTCCCGGGTGCTTGGGGGGTGGGGGCTTCCCTATAGGGAGGGTGGAAGGTCCCTTGCTGGCCCACATAGCACCTCTGTGCAAACTGCACCACAGCCCCCTCCTCCAGCAGATGGACAGCCTATCTTGCCCTTGGATTTTATCCCCTTTGCCCCTCTGCCAGGATACACCCTGCACCACTGTGTGTGGTGGTCCTGAGGGAGATACTGTGAGGACTGAGGGAGGGGGACAGATGCAGACTCTTCGATTCACCATTCTCACTGCCCACTTCTCCCCTTGGCCTCAGGGAAGCCATAGTGTTTCCGGTCCTCGGCTCCTCCTGGGCCCACTGAGTCCCAGCCTGATGAAAAGTCCTGTGCAGCCCTCTTGAGCCTGTCTTCCTCAGCCTACTCCTTCCTCTGTGGAGACTTCAGGCTGCAGGACTGCCTGCCCAGGCCCCACACGTTAGCTCCAAAGTCCCATGTCCCATGACCTCCCTGCGCTGGGCCCAAGGACCCTGCTGACCAGGCAGCCCCAGGCTTTGTCCGGCAGCTTTTTCCTCCTTTCTTCTTCACCTTTGGTTTTATTTCTCAAAGTTTTGTTTTGTTTTTTTAATTTTTTTACTATATTCTTTCTGAAGTCTCTCTCAGAAACTTCAGGTCTAGAAAGAGGCCAAGTCTGCTGGGGTTTCTGGTCTTCCTGTCTGGAAAGAGGAAGCCCCTTCTCTGGGCTCAGGATTTCCAAGGGGTCTTCCCTGCACCAGACTATTGGAGATATAATGACCCCTCAGTCCCTCTCCCAGAAACCCTGGTGGTGTAGTGGTTAAGAGCTATGGCTGCAAACCAAAAGGTCGGCAGTTCGAATCCATCAGGTGCTCCTTAGAAATTCTGTGGGTTGGGGCAGTTCTACTCTGTCCTGTAGGGTTGCTACGAGTTGGAATCGACTTAACGGCAACAGGTTTGGTTTTGGTTTGGTCAGTCCCTCCCCACGCCCTTGCTTCTTTCTGGCCCCACACAGGGATCCAGGGGAAAGTATGATGGGTGCGGTCATATTTGGGAAAGCATGCCTTACTCCATGCCAGTGCTCAGCCCTTGCCCAGAGGAAGGGTCTTTGGTGTCCGCTGTGTGTGCGGGGGTGGGGGTGGGGGGAGGAGGCAGGAGTGGCCTGGGGAGGCCCTGATGGGCCTGTCTGCAGGATTTGCAGGGAGGAGGGAGGCTTGTCCTGCAGGCGGAGGGGCAGGGTAATCTGGCCTCACCCCCTCCTGGTGGTGCTGTGTGTGCATTTGAACAGCATTCTTCTCTTGCCCCAGGTAGACTTTGGAATCTTCTTGGTACCTTGGGTTTTTCCTAGGAGGGGAAGAGGAAGGGCCCTAAGGGTTTGGTGTGTCTAAAAGTAGTGGAAAGTGTGTAGGCGGGAGGGGTGGTGAGGTTTGGGGTTCCAAACTCCCTCCTGGGCGCCGTCCGCGCAGAAGGGTGTTCCCTGGTCTGAAATCAGATGTCCATGCCCCGGCCTTGTCACTTGCTGGGGATTTGGAAGTGCCGGCCCTGGGGCTCCTCGCCTGAGCCAACCATTCGACGGTTTATCCCCGCCACAGCCTTTTCCAGGTCCTCTCAAGTGGGCATTTGTGGTGTGAGGACTGGGCGGCATGAGGACGGGGTGGGGGTGGGGGTGGGGGGACTACAGCTCACCCACCCGCCCCTCGTGTCCTTGCCCTCCAGGTCATTGGCAGCTCCCTCCTCTTCATCCACGACAAGAAAGAGCAGGCCAAGGTGTGGATGATTGACTTTGGAAAGACCACGCCCCTGCCTGAGGGCCAGACCCTTCAGCACGACGTGTCCTGGCAGGAGGGGAACCGGGAGGACGGCTACCTCTCAGGGCTGAACAACCTCATCGACATCCTGACGGAGATGTCCCTGGAGGATGTGCTCGCCTGAGGCAGCGCTCTTCGCCCCCGCCCCATCTCTTTCCTTCTGTCTTCTCCTTCACTTCCTTCTGGGCTCCAGCCCAGAGCTGACCCTCCCGAACTGCACTACAGGACACTTTGTAGAAACAGCAGAAGAGATGAGATTTCCTAGTGGTGTTCCCAACGTAAGGGCTTGGACGTGGGGCTTTCAGGGCTCTTTGTAAATAGAATCGTCTACTAGACAGAAGTGCCCAGGCCTCGGGCTCGGCTTCCTGTAGGGGAAGTCGGTGGGGTTCAAGGTGGAGGGAGGCTGCGCGGGGGACACCTAACACGTGAGTCTCCCCGCCTCTGGGCGGCCCTGGAATAAGCAGGCAAGCCGGCTGAACTGCGGGGGCCTGCTGCCCCCTGGTGGTCAGCGCCGTCAGTGCAGTCCCGTTCCTGCGGCAGCCTCCCACCCAGAGGCCGCCGGGCAAGGGCTGTAAGGGCCCCAGTGTGTGGGCGGGTTGCTGGTGCCTGCGGGGAAGCCAGGCTTTCTGGTATTAGAGACACGACACCACTCGGGGAGCCGCACGTTGAAAAGGGGGAGAGTACCATCCGCTCGGCAGCTCAGGGACTCCCAGAGACGCCTTGCCACTTAGAGCTGCAAAAGCAGGGACCCCACCCATTCGGAGCTGAAACCTCCCCAACTTTGGGCCAGACCCAGGAGGCTGTAAGACGGCCTGGCTGTCCTCTGACCCAGGCCTTCCCAGAAAGAGGCAAACAGGAAAGGCGTTTTTTCATCCGCTGTAATTGCCCATGAATTCAGAGGGACACTGCGGACCTGAGCTTCCAGTGATGGCTGCCGCCCCCTGCTGTGGCAAGATGTAGGCTGCCTGGGGGGCGGGACAGGCACAGACTGCACAGGGAGGAAGGCACGCAGACCTGCGGACTGTCTGGCACTGGGGCCCCCGGGGGAAGGATAGTCTTCTCTGTCTCCCCACTGCAGTGCTGGTCAGTCCCCCAGCCTGCACCCTGGGGCCTTTCCCTGAGGTTTAGAGTCCCCAGCAGTCACCTGGGAGGCCTTCTGCCAGCAGAGCAGTGAGGAAGCAGGATTCTGGCTCACTGGCATCGTCCTTTTCTCCCCTGAGATAAGTCTTGCAGCTTGAAGGGCTTAGATCCGTGTTTCCAGGATATGCTGTGGTTGCCTGCCAGGGTATGTGATGGGGGTAAGGGGGCTATTCCAGGCATCAATTCCTGAGTGTCTATTTTGTTTAAAGATTTGTGGGAAACTAATTTTAAACCGTATTTTAATTGTAAAGCAAGTAAGTTTACATTATGGAGAAGGATGTAAAATTTACATGACTTTTTTTTAAAGAAAAGAACTCCTGTCTTGCGATTTAGAGCTGTGTCCTCAGACCCTGAGGGGCTTGCTGCCAGTCTCTTTTGCCGTCAGCGGTCCAGGGTGCAGGCAGTGGGGACCCTCTGGCTGGGCCAGGCCAGCAGGGACCTGCCTCAGGAACACAGCGGAGAAAGTGTGCACCAAGGGGAGTGGCCTGCAGGGAGGGGTACCTGGGCAGCCCACCCTGTCACCCCAGCATCACGGAGGGAACTGTTGACTTGCCCACGTGACACTTAGTTTCCCCTTTCGTGCTGGGTGACAGTGGAGGGGTAGAGGGTGGGACACATGAGGATGTACAAGTACAGCTTTCAAAAAAGGAAACCACTTTTAAACTTCCTGGTTCTTGTTCAAAACAGTGCTGAGCTCTTGCGTGGGCCAGCTTGCTAAAGGTCACACCCTAGCCAGCTGCGCGTGGGAGCCCTTGTGACGGCATGTGATGGGCAAGGAAGCAGGGACGGACAGGGTGCCGGGGCTGTAAGGCCAGCTCTGGGTCTCTGAGCTACAGTTGTCTGTGGGTTAGAAGGGACCCTGGGGCTCTGTGCTTCAGCCACCTGCAACCTACCAGCTGGGAAGGGATGTCATTAATTCAGACATAAAGATTCTATAGCTACAGGCCAGCCAAAGACTACCTTCATTCTACCTATGAGAAAAGTTTGCTAAAGCAAATTAACGTTATGAACAAAATGTACAGGGAACCAGCTTAACCTACTTAGGAGAACAAACTTTCCAAGCACTTTAAGCAGGCACCAGGTGTTTGCAAACAATGTGCTATATGCAAATGTTAGTTTATTCAAGGAGATCCACCAGCCTCTTCCTGGCAGTACTTTGCTTTGAGTTATATTATGTATGTAAAAGTGGTATGTCTTTTTAAGGTTATTCTATTATTTAGATTTTTAAAAATATATTTACCGTGCAAGTTCTCTTCCACACCTACTGTCTCTCAGCCCATTCCACCCCGCCCCCTTGCTCTGACATCCAGGCCGTTCCCCCGCCTAGTGGTCTGAAAGACCACACCCACGCAGCCCTCGTCCCGGCAGATCTAGGGGGGCTGGGTGAGAGTAGGGCCAGGGAGCAGGACGTGCTGTAGGTGCCAGGCCCTCCTGCCCTGTGCTCGCTGGCCCCCGACGCTCGGGGAGTCCGGTACTAACGCGTCTGCACTGCTTAGCGTTTGCGGAAGGGTTCCTCAGTTGTTTTTCCCAGACTTGCCTTTAGTGTCATGTAAGAAGTTTTTAAGTTATATTTATTTCGTTGGTTTTTTAATTGCACAAAACACTAAGACTGAAAGGCTGGATTTTGTTTTTCCCTTAAAACTTTGCTTTCTCTGTTTCTTTTCCCACTTGGAAGAAAGAGCCAGAAGCAGCCCAGCTCACCAAGATGGACTGTTTCCTTCTTTTGATGTAATTAGCCTTGAGTTTCTCTGGATCTGATTAATCCGGCGTGTGTATAACCCTTGTTCTAGTTGGGAAGCAGGGCGTTTGTCCCCTGTCGGTGCTTTTTTTTCCGGAGGAGAGGACTCTCCCAGAGGGCCTCTCCTTTGCCTCTGCACCCCTCTTTCCCACGGGACTTGGAGAAGAGTGTACTGTTACAGAACCCCACACACAGTGCCTGTCAAACAGACCGCAGATGCTCTGTACCTTCTTGAATAAAGGCCGTGAGACCGCAGTGCTGTCTGCAGTGTCTTCAGTTCAGGCACCAGGCCCTCAAGAAGAGTCTGATGAGTGAGTGGGTGGTGCTGGGGAATTGCATGGGGGCTACGATGGTCCTGGGGTCCTGGGTGACACAAATGGTTAAGCGCTCAGCTGCTAACTGGAAGATTGGTGGTTCAAACCCACCCAGAGGCACCTTGGATGAAAGGCCTGGAGATCTACTGCTGACTGGTCGCCGCCATTGAAAACCATATGGAGCACAGTTCTCTGACACACATGGGGTCACCACGAGTCAGAATTGACTCAAAGGCAACTGGCTAGTTGGTTGGTAGTTGTCTAAGACCCTCTCCAGACTATTCAAGACAGCGCAAGTGGGGAGGTGCAGTGACCCAGGAGCTCTGACATTTGGTGACCAGGCTTCGATTCCCAGCCACTGCACCTCAAGGGCAGCTACCATCGGCCTGTCAGTGGAGGCTTCCATGTTGCTGTGATACTGAACAGGTTTCAGCAGCGCTTCCAGACTAAGATAGACTAGGTAGAAAGGGCTTGTGATCTACTTCTGAAAATCAGTGGAAACCCTATGGATCACGATGGTTGCCATGAGTTGGGGGCTGACTTGACAGCAGCTAACAACAACAACATTGAGGTACCTGTATTCTCAATTTATCAACTCTGTGAACAAAGCTTTACAAAACTGGGGAGGAGGGGTCTGCATCCAGAACTTGCCAGGTTTCAAACCCAGGGCTATTCTGTCTTCCTGCCTACCCTAAGGGTGTCTGGAGGGCAGATAGCATGTGGTCTTTGTCCCAGGTCCTGGGTGCTAGGCACAGTGCTTGGTCCACAGTAGCCACCCAACCAGTGTTTGTTAAGCTAGTAAGTGGCTGCTAGACTGGGTCGGGCAGCGGGAGCCCCTGGATAGAGAAGCCTGTGCAGCACATCAGGCATTCACTGTCCTCTACCACGTGTTTCCTGCTAGCCCCTCCCCAGCTCTAGGTTGCTGGGCTCCGTTTGTAGAACTTTTAGAATTCTGTATTTGTATGTGTCAGGGGGTGTGTTGGGGAAGTTGGGGTTGCACCCTTTCTTTATCATTTTGAATAGTGTTTGGCCAAAAGTACAGAAAATGAAAAGCCACAGGCCCTTTGCACCTTCTGTTCCTCTGCCTGGCATATTCTCCCTAGTTACCACATGGCAACTATGCTCACTTAAGATTCTGGATCCGTATCACTCCTGCTGATGCAGCGGCCACCAGCTCTGTGTGGGTTCCAGCCAACTTCCGTGTAGGCACAGCCTGACAGGCCTTGCCCAGAGCCTGCTCTGTACCTGAGTTGCTTCCTGCCCTCGGGCTTCCCTGTTGGCCTGTGCAACCTTGAAGTTTGGGGGATTTAACCCCCATGGTACAAACCTTTCACCAACCAGAGACAAGAACGGGGTGGGGATAGATTCTTCCTCCTTCACTACCACCCCTCTGATTGGCTTCTCAGAGGATGGCCCCAGGGGATCAGCTTGGTGATGCACCCTGGGATTGGTGCTCCCTTCTGCTTGCCTCACATCTATCTCCCTGGGGTTTCCTGTTTTTGATAAAACAGTAGGACACAAGCTTTCCACCTTAGACTTTGCTTTCTGCAGAGCTCAAGCAAAGATAGCATCTTTTAGGTCTTGGCCCAAATATTGGAGCCAACTTTGGGAAAGATCCTTGGAAAGATCTCTGAACACTCCAGCTAAAGCAAGATTGCCCCTTTCACTCTCTACCACATGGCCCTGTTTTATATGTCTGAACACACTCAGCTGCTAACAGAAAGGTTGTAGATTCGACTCCACACAGAGGCGCCTTGGAAGAAAGGCCTGGTAATCTACTTCTGAAAAATCAGTCATTGAAAACACTGTGGAGCACAATTCTACTCTGACACACATGAGGTTGCCATGAATTGGAGTCAGTTTGAAGGCAGCTGGTACCGGTAGCAGTATTCGAAACCAGCCTACAGGGTATGGTCTGTCTCCCCCTTTACAGTGTAGCCCCTGAGGATAGGGACTTTACGCTGTTAACTGCTGTTTCTTCAATGTCTAGCAGGGCCAGGAGCCTCTGTGGTTACCCCTGAGTTTTATGACCACCTCCGACCCATGCACAGCCCTGCCTTCAAGGTGGAAGTTGCTCCGTTCATTTATTTCCCTACTGAACCTCCTCATGCCCACTCCACGGGGCAGCAGAGACTCTGCCCAGCCTTTCAGTCCACAGTGCCTCTCGCCACTCCTCTTCCTCTTCCTGGACTTTGCCCACAGGACAGGTGTCTCCTCTTGAGCCTATAGTAAGGGGCCAGGACTTCTCGGCTTCCACACCCCTCAACCTGCTCATCTGGAGTAGTCTGGACCCCACATGTCCCGGAGGTCCTGACCACCAGGGAAAGGGCCAGACCCCAGGCTGTGGACAGGGGCTTAGGAGAGGGGCCTGGTTGCCCATCGGATACATGGGCCCCTAGCTGGGGAAGACTTGGCCCGCTGGCTCAATCAATGGGATCATGGGTCTTTCTTCCCGCTTAAGACAAATGTCAGTGGCCCAGGCTGCCACAACTAAGTCTGCCTGCCCTTGAAAGAGAGAATCAGCGTGTGATCCAGATGGAGCTCAGGGAGCCCTCCGGCCCATGAGCCCCTCACCTGCTGTGGTGAGAGACCACGGACTGAGCCCTGTGTTGCTGCATTGTTGTTCCACGGCCTCAGAGGCTTTGACTGTGGCCCCTGCTGGCCGGGAGGGAAGCCACCTCTCTTCCTCCGTGCTGGCCTCCAAGTCCTCATAGGGCCACCTGGCCGGGGCCCTTCAGAAACAGAGCCTGGAGCAGCAGTTCAGGGGCTTACACTTCACTGGGACTGTCTTTACTCCATAGATAGGTAGGTAGGCAGGTAGATAGGTAGGTGGGTAGCTGCCGTTGAGTCAGCTCTTAGGCTTATGTACAACAGAACGAAATGTTGCATGGTATTGGGTCATCCTCACAATCACTAGCATGTTCAAGTCCATCATTGCAGCTATTGTGCCAGTCCATCTCACCGAGGGTCACCCTTGCCCTCGCTGGCCCTCTACTTCACCAAACACGATGTCCTCCTCCAGCAATTGATTCTCCCTGATGACATGTCCAAAGCAAATGAGTTGGACAATATTCTGTTGTGATCCATAAGGTTTTCACTGACTCATTTTCAGAAGTAGATCACCAGGCCTTTCTTCCTAGTCTAAGTCTAGAAGCTCTGTTGAAACCTGTCCACCATGGGTGACCCTGCTGGTATTTGAAATCCCAGTGGCATAGCTTCCAGCATCAGAACAACACACAAGCCACCTCAGTACAACACACTGACAGGTGTTGGCTTTACTCCTTAGGCCTCAATTATACGTCTGGGAACCGGGGAGATAACCCCGGAATGGGTCTGTGGACCCACTGGGCTCATAGTGAGACGAATTTGGGCCAGAACTCTTCTATCTCACAGACTCTATAAGCCCCACTATAACCAGAGGACCACCGCAGGTCTCTGGGAGCAGTGTCAACACCGACCTCAGAAGACTGAGGCTGGCTGATGGCATGGAAAATTCTAGACCCTTCCAGATATAAGTTCATAGACTGGAGAGCATTGGCTGAAAGGTAGGCCAGGCCCCTTTGAAGAAGGACCCTGCAAGACCACTGCAAGTATGTGTGGCAATATTCCTCCAATCCAACCCCGAAGGGGCCCTCAGCTGTTGGCCAGAGTAGCTGTGCCCCGGGGGAGAGGAACTGCCTGACTTTTTTGAGGACTCTTAGATGCAACTTTCACAGCAAGCCTGATCTTGGCAGTTAGCTGCCCTGAACCTACCACCTTCTTTCTTCGAGGCTTCCAGTGCTGTCTAAAGAGCAAGCCCACACCACGGTCCTATTAATGCCCATTGCCCCATAGAGACCCATGCCTTGGCCACCGCGTACCTCAGGACCTCACTTTCCACCTGTACCTCATTCCAGCTAACCACAGGTCATTGTGATCGCACCGCTTCTACCAGCGATAAAGAGTCCCATATGCCTTCAGACCGGTGGACAAGCCAACTTCAAAGTCTGCTTTCTAGGATGACCAGCTGTCCTGGGAAAGTCCCAGGATAACTGGTCACCCTCCTGCTTTCCTGGAGCACTTCTGGTACCAGCTCTCTCAGCCTGGTTCCCTAGGTGTGGGACTTAAGGCAAAAAAAGCTTGTGAGCGACCCCAAGGAAGCTGGAGTGGAGAGGCTGGGACGAAGTAAGGCAGGGACAAAGGGAACAAGAATGTAAGGGGGGCATGTCTGAGCTGGCCACGGCTCAGCAGCAAGTGCAGCCAGCTCCTCAGCCTGTAGGATGGCTTCAGGGAGGCTGAGTCAGCTGCGTGTCTTGGGACAGTCCTCCTGGGGGAGACGGGAATAGAAGAATAGGGATATAATGCCCGCTGCCTCCTCTCCCTCCCTCCCTCCCACTGGTCAGTCTACCCATTGGGTGTGACCCTCGGTGGCGTCACCAGCCTCTCCAACAGCCTTGAGACCCGTCAACCAGTGCACTGGCGTCCCCTCCCCTCACAGGCGTCCCCTCCCCTCACAGGCATCGCCTCCCCTCACAGGCGCCCCCTCCCCTCACAGGCATGGCCTCCCCTCACAGGCGTCCCCTCCCCTCACAGGCGTCCCCTCCCCTCACAGGCGCCCCCTCCCCTCACAGGCGTCCCCTCCCCTCACGCGCGCCCCCTCCCCTCACAGGCGTCACCTCCCCTCACGCGCGCCCCCTCCCCTTAGCCGTCCGTGCTGCGGGGCCTCCTCACCTGCAGGGCCGGAGGCAGCCTCGCGATTCAGTCCCGTGACCACGGGGACGGCATGAGCCATTGGTCCGGTTGCCCGGGTCAGAAAGCCAGGCAAGTGTGTGACTCGCATACGCTGAGTTTGGGCAGGACTTTTTCTCAGTATGCGCCGGCAGTGCCCCATCGGCCCCCACCCTCCCTCCAGTCCTCACCCTGCCCGCTTAGGTCCTTGATTGAGGGCTCCACCTCCTCACTCAATTGGGCAGGAAGCTGGGGTCAAGGCAAACTGCCCCTCACTTCTGCCAGGTCTGGGGAGGGGAGAGAAGCTGAAAACGCAGGGACTCCCTGGGGCTCCCCCACAGGATGGCTCGGAATGCTGGGCTGTCTTGGTAACAAGGACACTGTGTCTGGACCAGGGACCACCAGGAATGCAAACCAGTTAGAGAATCAGCGATTAGGTGGAAGGTCTCAGAGAGAGATAGGGAGACCCAAGCCAGCTTCTAAGCAGCTGTGGGCCTGGGAAGCCTGTCACCACCCCTCACCACATCTGTTAAACAAAAACACCAAACCTGTTGCTGCCAAGTTGATTCCAACTCATAGCGACCCTATAGGACAGAGTAGAACTGCCCGGTTGAGTTTCCAAGGAGCAGCTGGTGGATTCGAACCACTGAACTTCTGATTATTGATTGGCAGCTAAGTTCTTAACCACTGTGCCACCAGGGCCCCACCACATCTGTCAGGGCCCTGTAAAGATCAACAGCAAATCTATTCCATTTCTCAATTAAAGGGCACAGTCCTCTAGACTGCCAAATCTGCCCAAGACTTCAGGCGCCATCTGCAAGCTTGGGGGCTCCTCATGACACCCTCACTTTTGATCTGCTGGCTATAAATTTAGGGGCTCCCTCTACTGCCTCAGAAACCCTGATGGCATAG